GCCCTAACACTCGAGGTTTGGGGGAAATTATTTCAAGAAATAATGTCATCTGTAAATATTATAGGCTGATATTGAGTAAAGAGACTACGAACAGAATTACCTTGGATCTTTTCTTGCTTTCCCCAATAATATCTGCCCCTAAGATTATCAGTTTTTCTTTGGAGGGTATCTGTTCCACAGATCCATTAACCCTACACAGATTTGCAGCTGCCTTCATTTCTTCTACTCAGATAAGTCAAACTGTACTGTTTATATTTTCATTTCAGTGAAATAAAAAAATATTTTTGCTATCAGGAAATGATCAGCCTGGTCTTTTGGTTTGAAAAGGGTGTGTGCAATATTAAACTGATTGTACATAGTCTCTTGTTAGGGCATGTATAAGATGAGAGGTTTTTGAATGTTTTGCTCCTCATATTAAACCTGTATGAGACTATTGTTTTCTCCATTAATATTGGATCTAATTACCGTTCAACAGAATGCATTTGTACAGCACATTTTGTTTGAGCAATTTGACAATAATAAATCATAATGGAATTACATTTGCACACTTAGGCTATTTTAAATAATAACTAGAATTATGTGTATAATATTAAATACAGTATATGTTTCTGCTGTTATTTTAAAAGTATATGATGATTTGTCTGCATATAATCTCGAAAGGGATTTACATTTATGTAGGTAATTATTGTAATAAACTCTTAAAATATACGTTACTTCTATTCAATGCCAGACCTTTTTTCTGCATTAATTCTAGAACATACTCTACATATGCAGATTCTTCCTTTGGTGGTTTTCCCACCATTTGTTGCAATATTGAAACCAAATAGATCAATACCCAAAGGAGTACATCTGTTATAGTATATTACTAGAAAAGTGTAACTCATTTCAGAGCCTGATGAGATAATTGTAATATTCATAGTTAGGAACACTATGTTATCTCTAAAAGATAGGGGTAAAATGTTCAGAAGTATCTGACTGATTAAGGCTGTTGAAGTGTCTTATTGAAAATCAATGGGATTTAGGATTCTATGTCAATTTTGAAAATGAGATTTAGGCTCTCAAGTCACTTAAATACTTTTCAAAATTGAACCCCTCATCTTCCTTTATTACAATTGTGTATGTCTGTTTGAGGCAAGGGTTTTGAATTAGGTGAAGATCTAGAGTAAATGTATAACATTCATTTAATTGCATCAGAGGGGTAGCTGGGGTAGTCTGTAAATGGACAAAATTAAAAAAACAACAAATAGTCTAGCAGCACCTTAAAGGCTAACAAAACATGTAGATGGTATTGTGAGCTTTCATGGGCACAACCCACTTCTTCAGATAAATGGAGTATTAAAAGTCCAGATCCAAGAATAAATAAATCCTGTGTTTGTCTCTGTCTGTGGCATTGGAGCAAATCCAGTTATATTTTAGGGCTTGGCTGTAAGCAATAGATTGAGAAATTTGTCTTGGATGGAAGCTAGAGGCATGAAGGTAAGTGTAGCAATCGGTACGTTTCCGGTATAAGGCCATGGAAATGTGTCTGTCATGTAATTGTACTATAGTGTCTAGGAAGTGGATCTCTCATGTGGACTGACCTAAGCTGAGGTTGATGGTGGGGTGAAAGTTGTTAAAATCCCTGTGAAATTCTTCAAGGGTCTCTTTCCCGTGGGTCCATATGATGAAGATGTCATCAATGTAGTGTAAGTAGAGCTAGAGGGTGAGAGTGGAGGAAACATTCAAGGTCAGCCATAAAGACATTGGTATATTGTGGGGCCATATGGGTGCCCATGGCTGACACCATGTGGGTGCCCATGCTGCTGACTTGAAGATAAAAATTGCCTCCGAATACCTCAAACAAATTCTTTCCAGAAACCACACAGCACACCTCCATCATAATCATCTAGAAACCCACCCCTGCAGTCAGCTCCAGTGCCAAGTTTGTCCACAAATCTACACAAGCAATTTCACCAATGGATCCAATCACAACAGCCACTCCGTCAGGGGCTTATTTAACTGCAGATCTACTAATGTGATCTATGCCATCAAATACCAGCAATGCCCTGCTGCCATGTATATTGACCAAACTGAACAATCTCTATGGGAAAGAATTAATGGATACAAATCAGATATCCAAAAATGCAACACACAAAAACCTGTTGGAGAACACTTTAACCTGCCCAGGCACTCATTCATGGATCTTAAAGTCACCATGTTGTTTCAGGCCAATTCCACAAGCCGAATAATCAGGTAAGGGTTGGAACTCAACTTAATTTACAAGTTAGATTCCTATCACAGAGGTATGAATAAAGACATTGGCGGCCAACAACTACCTTCCACATCCTAATAACTTAACCAAATAAACAATGGGTACTTAAAGAAAGTGCAAATTGTTCTTCTTAGTTTCTTGTAACTTGAGCACTCTAATTCACTATTTTTGCCCTCTTCTTTCCCCCCTCCTTCCTCTACTTATTCTTGGATCTGGACTTTTAAAACTCCATTCATCTAATGAAGTGGGTTGTGCCCACAAAAGCTCATGATACCATCTACATCTTTTGTTAGTCTTTAAGGTGCTGCTAGACTATTTGTTGTTTTTTAAGTTTATTCATTTATTTAGTTTACAAAGTCTTCATGTTAATATCTTGAAGACCTTGATCAATCACCCATCCCAGAGAGAGCAGTGATTACAACACACTATTTGTGTTGGTGTAGCCAGTCCTTCAGCCACTTGTTTGCCAGGCTGTCAGGAGCAGTGAACACCCACTTTCATTCTGAGCTTCATACAGCTTCACCATGAGCAATAAGAAAATATACATATTTTATTCCCTGTGATGGCAAAGTACAGGCAGTCCCCGGGTTACATGGATCCGACTTACATCGGATCCCTACTTACAAACGGGGTGAGGCAACACCGCACCAGCTGCTTCCCCCCAGCAGACCAGGGAGACGTGAAGCTAGCGCTCCCCCCCAGCAGACCAGGGAGACGAGGAGTGGCTTTTCTCAGCAGACACCTCAGCTTGAGAATAAAGGACTGAGGGAAGTGAGGTGTGGGAGAATAAAACTGAGCTCTGGAGAAATGTTTGGCTAGAGTTTCCCCTATAATATGTACCAGTTCCGACTTACATACAAATTCAACTTAAGAACAAACCTACAGTCCCTATCTTGTACGTAACCCGGGGACCGCCTGTATACAGTTTGCATGTGCATGCGTGTGTATTCTTTTTTAAAGTAAAACTGGGGGGAAACCCCCCTTAAATTCAAGTGGCTGAAAATAGCAATATGCTCCCCTGGGGTCATTAGTAAGATTTGAATCTGGAACACCATCCAAACTGATCAATTGAAGTGAAGGGTTAACTGATAATACTAGTAGACTCTTATCCTGTATGTTGTTTAGCCACTGGAGGGGGACTGTGACAGGGCA